TCCCCCATGGCCCCCCATGGCCCCCCATGGCCCCACATGATCCCCCATGGTCCACATGAGCTGCGGTGGGAGGAAGCAGCAGAACGTTGAGCGGAGCTGAGTCTGATGTTCAACAGAGAGCAGATGAGCAGCTGACAGACTCTGCAGTGATGTTTCTGAACACTCACTGGGAGAAGCTCGTTTTCATTCTTCTAATTGTTCTGTTTGAAATTAGTTTGTTTATGTTTAATTATTATTTCCTTCCCTTGTCTATCCACCAAAAGACCAAACGTACCAATGGAAGCACTGAAAGTGTTCTTCAGCTGATGTTTACGTGTTGTTTACATGTTGTTTACGTGTTGTTTACGTGTCGGATCAACACGCTGCAGGGAAACTAAACCACAACCAGACAGAAGCAGCTTCAGTTTGCAGGAAGCCTGTTAAACTTTTACACATTTATTCTGTCCTTGTTTAAATAAATACACATTTTACCATCCAGAACCCAAGTGGACCAGTCCTGACCAAGACAAACTCAGAACCAGCACACTGTGGCTGTGTGTGTGTGTGTGTGTGTGTGTGTGTTGATATTTGTGTCAATGGAAGTTTACATTGTGTTGTTACTGTCAACTACAAGTTAATGCATCTCATGTATGTCATGTAACAAGTTACTTTCTGCAGGGAGTAACTAAAGTGCTGCATTGCTTTTCTAGGAAGTAATGTGTAATAAATTACTTTACTGAGTAACTCTGGCACCATGTTTACTGTGAGCTACATAAACGGCCAACTGTTGCAGTCGTAAGTCGATGGCCAGGAAACAGAATGTTCAGATTTCAGACCTCAGCTGTTGTGTAGTTGTGATGTTTTTGTTGTTTTGTGTGTTGATTATAATCACACAACAAGCTGACAGACGACAGGAAGTTTTTAACAAGGAGGCGCTGAGTCAGCACATGTTCTGATTTAAACTTTACTTAGTGCAACAGATGACTTCTGTTTGTCAGATGGAATCAGCTGTAGCAAGCTAAGCTAACAGTTTCTCCCTGCTTCCAGTCTTGATGCTAAGTTAGGCTAATAGTTTCCCCTTGCTTCCAATCTCTGTGCTAAGCTAAGCTAGGCTTAGCTGAGTTACCCAAGTGCTATATAAAAAGATGCTCAGTAGCTACCACTGTAAACCCAGCATGATGAGTGACTGTTTCAGCTAGCAGCAACACACGAGCACGCTCCTATTTTCTGTCTGACTTTTTGCTAGCATTAGCGACAGTTTGATTGTTACATGAGTTGGAAATAAAAACTGGAGTAAAACACGCCTCTGTGGTTGACTGAGTTATTGAAGCTGCACATGCTGGAAACATCTTTAAATCAGAAGCTTTCAATCAGCTGTGATGTCTTGATTTTAGAAATCTTCTTGTTTTTTTGTCTCAACCAAACTCAACACAGAAATGAGAGGATTTATTTTTTCCTTGATGGAGCTAACAGTTCCCCCTTCCAGTCGTTGTGCTAAGCTATGCTAAACACATATGTGAAAGCTGTCAGACCACAAGAGGATTCATGAAATGTCAGACTGTTCTCAAAGACAGTCAAAGAACCATTTAGTTTGAAAAATTCGTAACCAACTATCTAACAGGTTCTTTAATGAACCAGGTGCATCCACAAAGAACTATCATGAAAACTGTTTGTTAAAGAAGCTATTTTGCTGAAGGTCTTTGGAGCACCATTTGTGGTGCCTAAAGGAACCATTTCTGATGGTACTTTGAGGCATGCACAGGGGTTCTGTAGAGAACCATTGGCAGAATTGGCTCTTTAAAGAACCTCTTGCTCTAAGGTTCTTTGTGGAACCAAATTTGGTTCCTCTATGCTGTCACTGCAAAAAATCATTTTTGGTTCTGGCTACAACTTTTTTCTGATTGGCAGATGTATACATGTGCACAGGTATACAGCTGTACAGGTGTGTATGTCACTGACCAATCGCTTCTCTGGCTGTCCTATCGGAGGAAAAACACAGCACACTGATTATTGATTGCAATCAGGTTATATGAGGTGCGTCAGAAGGTTCCAGCACTGGTGTCACAAAAGATCTATTTCAAACGCAAACTCCAGTCCAGGACGTCCCCCTTCAGACCATCAACCAGCTCGTCTACAGAGGTCCTGCAGCATTTGCTTCGTCCAGAAGAGGCAGAGTTGTGTCAGGACCAGTGGAGGCTGCGTCACCATGACAACCTGCTCACAGCGCCCTGAGCATCCCACAGCTCCTGCTGAGAAGAACATCTCCTCCCTACTCACCCCACCTGGCTCCGTGGGGTTGGTTCCTCTTCCCCAAGCTCAAGGGCTCATCAAGGAGACCCGTTTAGAAGACGTGGACGACATCAAGATGGCTGTGAGGACGGAGCTGAGAGGATCCTGGAGAATCCTTCCAGGAGAGCATGGCGGCGTGAAGAGAAGGCTGGAGGAGGGTGGTGGACTCCAGGAGGGTTACTGCAAAGGGAAAACTGGTAGTTTGTAGTTTGATTTGAAATCTGTCTTCTGTGACACCAGTCCTGGAACTTTTCTGACACATGTCATAGATTAGATAGTTAATCAGGTCCTAACACAGGTTAAGGATGATGAAGATGGTGTCACCACTCCACTCCTAGGCCTCCTCCAGGTGATGACGATCATTTGTCCCTCAGTGAAGCGCAGCTCACCTTCATTCTTAGCATCACAGTCACAGATGGTTCAAACATGGAGGAGTGTCTACACCTGCAGACGGTCAGTCAGCCAGTCAGACAAACGGACGGTAGAGAGGCGGAGCCCCGGTAGACAGGTAGGAGGGCCAGGGGCAGCATCCACCTGCAGCTGTGTCTGTCTGTGTCCTCATTCATTCATTCGTTCATTCATTCATTCAGCACAACCTCACTCGGGGACTTCTTTATAATAAAAGTCAGAAACAGCAGTAACATCTGAATAAAGAGGAGTTCAGGACGTGACAGGAATCACTGCTGTCTGGAAGAACATTCACTGAATCACATGTTCGGCCAAAATGTTTTACACCAGAGAAACAGGATTGTCAGAAAATTAAATGTTAATGTCAATGTTAGCACCCTACAACAGGATTTAATGTTTAAACATGCCCGAGGAGTTGAAACGTTAAGTAAGATATGATTACAGGTGCCCCTGTAGCTCACCTGGCTAGTTAGCTGTAGCTAGCTGTAGTTAGCTGTAGCTAGATTTAGTTAGCTGTAGCTAGCTATAGCTAGCTGTAGTTAGCTGTAGCTAGCTATAGCTAGCTGTAGTTAGCTGTAGCTAGCTATAGCTAGCTGTAGTTAGCTGTAGTTAGCTGTAGCTAGCTTTAGTTAGCTGTAGTTAGCTGTAGCTCTCAGACGCAGTGGTCGTGGGTTCGACTCCCACACACGACCCTTTGCTGCAGGCCTCTCCCGTCTCCTCCCTCTTCCTGTTTCTCTCTGCTGCTCTGAATAAAGACAAAAGCCAAAAAAAAGGTGTTTTAAAACAGCAACATGATTATTGCCATAAAATCCACTTTGTCGTGAATGTTTGTGTTTCGTTATTCATGACCCGGAGAACACCGTGTTTATGGAGGGTTTATTGTCACACTTGTTCAAAAAGAAGAAATAACGTCTGATTGATTGATCGATTGATTGATTGATTGATCGATTGATTGATTGATTGATTTGTTGATCCGACCAGCTGGAGGCGATGAAGCGCTGATTGAACTAACAAAACCCTCGACGAAGACGAACCAGCTGAAGCACCACAGAAGAAGAGGAGGAGGAGCGGCAGCAGGAAGTGTTAGCCGCAGTCAGAGTTAGCCTGTTAGCTGCAGACTGAGGCTGATATGAGGTTATAAACCGAACCGTGAGTCTGATTCCGTCTTTCTGTCCGTGTCGGTGTGAGTCTGTCTGTTTCTGTCAGTCGGAGTCTGTGTTCGCTCACTGAGAGCAGCTGTTAGCATGTAGCTTAGCTGCTCTGTTTAAACGCAGGGAGCAGTTAGCTCTGAGGTTAGCATCACTGAGAGTTCAGCTGTGTCCGGATGTCCAGGCAGAGCTGCAGCTTTATGTCCCGACCGACACAGAACCTCTGCTAACCCGAGCTAACCGTCAGGTGATCCGCAGGTACACCTGGACCGTAACGGCCGAGCTGCTGATACAAACTGTGGCTGCAAACAGAAGCATTGTGAATATTATGGGCTGTTTCAAACGACACGCTGTGTCTCCACTTTGTCTGTAAAAACAACATGTGTGAAGTAAGTGATCGGCCGCCTGCATGTTCACTGATCAATACGTGCTCTGATTGGAAACACTGGCGATGGTCCAGATGAAGTCCTTCACTGGATCAGACATCTGGATGAAGTTGGATCTGCTCCTGCCTTAGTCTTTGAGCTCCAAAAATCTGTTTCTGCTTCATCCTGATAAATCCAGAAGTTTCCGACTTGTCCTGTGACTCAGCCGGACACTTCCGGTCCGACACCTGAAACCGTGAACTCAGCTGTTCCGGTGATGAAACACCTGCAGCTGATAACCTGAGAACCAGGTGATGAGCCTTCAGACACACCGCTCTGCTTCACTCAGCTGTCTGGCTCACCTGTACCTGTGCCTGCATATGAGGCGTTTAGGAAACATCGGTAACTTGCAGTGCTTGTCGATAAGCGCAGCAAGCGTGGAGTTTATTCTGTCAGCAATGACAGCAGATAAAGACGAGTGGCACATTCATATAGTCTAGATTCCCAAGTCACTGACATCGATGCAAACCAACAAACAAGAAAGCTGATGATGAAAAATACTCGACAATCACCAAAATGACACCATGAACCAGTTAAAGTCATTAATTTTCCATTTTTAGCTGATCCTTGAACATATCACACAATGTGCTGTTTCATCTGAAGAATTATCGAATCTGAGCTTAAATCACCAAAATGACTTTATTCTACTGGAGCTCATGTCGTCTGCTCGTCCTGCAGATATTGAACCATCTCCATGTTTCCAGACTTCTCTGCTCTGCTAATCAGCTGTAGAAAGATGTTCCACCATCAGATGTAGAAAGATGTTCCACCATCAGTAGAAAGATGTTCC